ATCCCCAAACGACCAATTGTTTTTATTTTTAACTATTGTTATTTACCCACACGGCCTTTATATCGTGAGCAGTTTGCATTTTTATTGAATAAAGACTCCGGATTAGGCCCGATATCACGCATATATACGAGCTGTCATGGCTCACGTACATATTATCCACCGTTTTGCAACCTATTTGAGGTTTTTGAAACTTCCTGGCAGGATTATTTATTGCATCACGGGCTGCACGCTAGTCAACTACGATGGATTGATATTAAGTGACTTGTACCACGAAAATGAATCCCCTCGATGGAGGTTGGCCTATAAGTATTTTAAGAGCTACTATTCTCAACAATTTGGGAAAGCACGATCGATGCAATTCGCTTAAAGATGGATATTCAGAACAAACGGAAGTCGATTGATATAAAATTCCAAACTTTCTTTGCCTTATGGAGCATCTGAACGGGCAATATTTGTGGCCCGGCTATATACGTATGTCGGATCTATCAGTTACGCAGCGACTATATCTTGACAATGTTGTCTGCAATGTAGACACATACCTGGTCAGAATTTCTCATCGTAAGGACTACAGAATCAGGAAAGAATGACTAAGTAAATTGTGGCAGCTTGCATTACTTACATCATGTAGGATTCCAATCAATTGGCAATCTGACATGAAAATAACGTATGTCCTAAAAGTATTGGCACAAAATAATGGGTGATTTTTTTGCTAGCATCTTTTTGGCAACACTGTTTTTGACACACGACGCGTGAATCGTGTTTTGTGTCATTGTCAAACTTCTTCAGTTTGGTCTATAATTTAACCATGAATCGACTTACGAACGAACAACGCTTGCAAATTATTGAAATTTACTATCAAAATTCATGCTCGGTTAAGAGAGTGCATCGAGCACTGCTTCCAATTTACGGGCAATTTGGTCGGCCTACTGAGGGAGCTATTCGGAAGCTTGTGACTAAATTTTTCGAACCCAGTTTACATTACTGGACATTAAACCACCAACACGCAGACGTAGAGTGAGGACTGAAGAAAATATTGCAGCTGTATCCGCCAGTGTTAGTGATGACCGTGAAATGTCGATTCGCCGCCGTTCGCAGCAATTGGGCCTGTGTTACTCCACTACGTGGAAAATTTTGCGACAGGATTTGGGTGTAAAACCTTATAAGATACAGCTGGTGAAAGAATTGAAGCCACACGACCTCCCACAACGTTTCCCATTTGGTGAATGGGCGCTGGCAAAGTTGGAGGAAGATCCACATTTTTATCGAAAAATTGTGTTCAGCGACGAAGCTCATTTCTGGTTGAATGCGTACGTTAACAGGCAAAATTGCAGCATCTGGAGTGAAAACCAGCCAGAAGCATTGCAAGAGCTACCAATACATCCCGAAAAAATCACTGTTTGTGTGGATTATGGGCCGGTGGCATCGTCGGGCCGTACTTCTTCAAAGACGACAATGGCCGGAACGTAACATGCCACACCGCAGACGAAACAATGGCCCTATTGAGAAGCGAGTTCGGTGAACATTTTATTTCACGTTTGGGGCCCGTCAATTGGCTGCCTAGATCGTGTGGTTTAACGCCGTTGGACTATTTCTTGTGGGGCCATGTTAAGGCTAATGTCTACAGGGATAAACCACCAACGATTGACGCACTGGAAGCCAATATTGAAGCATTTATTCGTGAGATACCGGCCGATATGTGTGATAATCAGTAACTAGTTATCATAAATTACATCATAATAGTTATTAACTAAACTATATCCACTATAGAATTATGTGGAGTGACCCATTCTGCTCTACCAGACGCAACTTTCTTCGAATGTCTCTAATGAGGTCCTGGACAGAATTCAGATCAATTACTCTCAGTTCTTCGTAAATTCGCCGTCTCAGTTGTTCTTCATCTTGGGCCTCCAAGTCTGTATGATAAACCTTGCTAGACAGTAAAGCCAAAAAATCTTCTGCCTGCGGCAAGTTTGAAGGATTATCGTCTTTGGGTACAAAAGGTATGTTGTGTTGTCGTAGCCGGCTTTGGGTGTCGCTTGAGTAATCGCATGATGCTAAGTCTGGCCGAAATATGATATGGTCATTAGCATGATGTTCGTGGACAAACTGCAGCAATTTGGACAGGCAGATATAAATATAGCTCTGACTATTCAAAGATTCACCCCTCACTCTTCCCACAAAAGGATGCGATACACTCCTGTTAGAAACTGCGTGCCAGACAAGGACCTTATGTGTAAATTTCGTTTTATCTTGTATCAATCAATCAATAACCTTTATTTCCATACAGACAATATATAATTGTATTGGAATTGTCAATTTTTTGTTCGCTACAAACCTACAACTAACCTCAAATTGCAATGTTCAAAAATTCATGTAATGTGGCATGGTAAATTATTAAAAAGAAGCGGACCAATTTTATTAGGTGATCGAAATGCCGCATTTGGTTTGCTGAAGTTTAGATATAAATTATTATAAGTCCTTGTATCATAATTATGCATATCACAATTCCGCTTGAATTATTCATTAATTTTAAAAAAATGTAAGCACAATTCATATATATACAACGAAGAGACAGTTAAAATGTTGAAACTTATAAAATATTTTTTGCTACTTCCTGTTGGTGAGATGCCAGCTAATGATCGGATGCATTTTTTTGAGACACAAATACATCTTCAGAGCGCAATGACCAATCCCAGAAACATACCCCATATCTTGATCTCGAATCCACATTAGCAAAATAAACTGGTATCAATTGTTCAGCTGTTAAGATGGTTTTTAATTGCCTCAACACATAGCTTTGAGAGTACATTTTTGATGTGAGAAATTCGCAATGGGCCTTCCAATTTAAGTTCGAATCAAAATGAACTCCAAGAAATTTCACTTCTCCTCTAAAATCGATTTGATCGTCACCCAATCTAACTTAAAACTTTTCTACAGTTTTTTGAGCAAGATGAAAACGAATAAGCGTTGTTTTGGAAGGATTCAAGTAAAGTGATTTCTTTTTTAAACCATATATTGATATTCCTAATTAAGTTGTTACATTTATTTTCCAAAATTATATTTGAATTACTTGATATTATGGCAGAAACGTCATCAGCATATGCTGTAAAATGGGTATCTGGATGAACATTATCAAACTGATTAATGTATAATAGGAAAAAGATTGGTCCAAGAAAAGAGCCCTGGGGGACTCCAGTCCAGATGTCTAACGTACTTGATACACAGTTTTTCATATTGTTCCCTGAATCAAGATATTGTACTGAAACATATTGTTTTCTTTGGACTAAAAACGATCTGCCGTTTCCCTTCATTTCAGAATTACTCAAAGTTAACCACTTTTCGTCATCTAAAATAATGAATACAACGGAGTTGCGCTTTCGTATTTCGGGCTCTTAAGTCTCTTTCGATATTTGAGACATTTCCTCCTTAATTCCAACGATATCGTAGGTACTCTTAGAAGATCTGCATGGACGAGCCAGTCTCCTTGTTGACATTCTACGCTGATTTTTTGCTCTTTTCACCAATCTCTCTGACCTGTAGATACTTTTTCGTATTTCTAATTTATACGACATCATAAAGCGAAAACTTCAAAATAAATAAATTTTAACTGACAGTAAATAAACTAAGTAAACAAACTTTTGTTTCCAAAGGCAACTTGATATTATTTTGTGTTTGTTAAAATTAAAGCCAATGAATTTTGTGCCAAACATTTGAGGACATTCGTTAGATCGCAATTGTCTTTTTTTTTTGTTCTGTTATTGGCACTGGTCGATGAATCGGAAATTTCGAAAGGTATGAAAAGTAGGGCCCAGTAACATTTTGCTGTCATGATGTACTTACCGTTTGGCTATTCCGCATTGAGATATGAGAATTGGATGCGCGGTAGACACGCCGGATTGAGTAGTGGGGACACCATTTCATAAGCAGCAGCGATCGACGGCACATCGTGGGTACACTCCGAATAAAAATTTTAGGCGCGTACATATATGTTGTTATACTGCCAGCTTCGCGATGAATAGCAAAGTTAGAAACAAGGTTCTGAGTCAACAAAGTCGTGAAATTATAGCCTCTGTATTAGAATTCATGCAAAACGAAGCAACATATGGAGTGACTATTCCTATAGACAAGGTAAGGCCTTCATAATAATTATGTTCATTCGGTCTGTATAATCCGGTTTTTGCAATACTATTGTAAATTCTAGGTACGAGAACGTGTCTCACCCGCAACAGAGGTGAGCCTGTCTTCCATAAGGCGTGTAAAAAAAGAAGCGCGAAATATAAAAGAGCATGTGGCAGTCTCACTACCAAAACCAAAGAGAACAAACATCAAAACTGAGGTGGCCCTCGAGGGCTGTTACGGAGAACGATCATCAACTACCATATAACAGAGAAGCGCATACCTTCCTTGCGCTGTATACACAGAAAAACGCGCGATATTACCAATTACAAAGGGTGTAAAGAAACACAACGCAAGGAAATACACAAATTGGGATTCAGGTGGAAGAAATTTGAATCCAATAGAAAATTATTAATAGAAAAGGCAGAGATTCGCCATTTACGGATTGTTTTTTTAAGGAACATGGCAAAATATAGAAAAGAAGGACGCCCAGTAATATATACTGACGAAACGTATATACATTCTTCGCATACACATACCAAAAGCTGGGTAGATAACTCCACAGACGGCATTAAGAAATCAATATCAAAAGGAGAAAGGCTGATCATACTCAATGCTGTCGGTGAAAATGGATTTATACCCAATGCGTACCTAAGATGGAAATCTAAATGTAGCACAGGAGATTATCATAATAAAATTAATTTTGATAATTATAAAAAGTGGCTAAAAGAAAAACTAATTCCAAATCTGCCTCCCAGAAGTGTGATTGTTATAGGTAATGCGCCGTACCACAATAAACAGATAGACAAAAGTCCAACATCTTCGCCCGCTAAAGCTGAAATGAAGATCTGGCTTCGCGACTGGAATATGTTTTTTCAGATGAAATGCTTAAACCAAAACTCTACAATTTGATTAAATTGCATAAGCCAGCTTATAAAAAATTTGTCATAGATCAAATTCTTCATGATGCTGGCCACGATGTTCTAAGACTGCCACCCTACCACCCCGATTTAAATCCAATAGAACTCGTGTGGGCAACAATGAAGTCTTACGTAGCAGCCAGAAATGTCGATTTCAAGTTTTCTACCGTTTCAAAATGGTGCGACGCGTTTTTCAATAACTTTACGTCCGAAGAATGGAAAACTAGATGGGAGCATGCAAAAAAAATTGAGATAGAGTTTATGCAGCAAGAGCCCGCTGTTGATAGAGTTGTAGACGAAGTTGTTATCCATTTAAATGAAGTTGACAGCGATAGCGACTTTCTCGAGACCGAAACTGAGGACGAAGAGGCCGAAGAACGGAGCGATGAAGCAGAAGGGGATCTAGCAGAATTTTGGATGTACAGTCTGGCAAAGTCAGTTTAAGCTGTAAAAAACCGGTTGCATCGTAGATATCACGTCACAGCTCAAGCTGAATTTGCCAAATTGTGTAAATGTTTAGCAAGAGTAGCTTAAACTATCCATATAGGTACTTTTATAGTTATTGATTAAAAAAATATAGATAATCTTCAAAGTTTTAAGCAAATGAATTGGTTTTAACTGCTTCTAAAACTGCAGTGAAAGGCAATGAAAAACAACCTTTCAACCTTCCTTCATCATAGAAAATCAAATAACAGTCGTATGCCTACTGTGAAAAAACTTGGCGCGTCGACTGTACTTCTACATTCGTTGGCTATTATTGTTTCTCTCAGATATAGCGCTCTCTCAGTCCGTCGTTTGCGCATCTCACATCTCTAGCTACTCTGGTTCGCTTCATGAGGACTAGAGATGGGGAAACAAACTGTCTAAGGGATACATGTATTCGTATGAAGCAACTCCTGTCGCCAAGGATGTTGCGGCTCTCGGAATCTATTGGGCATAAGCATGGCGCAGATCGTCTGGACACTTGAAAATGTCACATGCCGCAATCTTTATGTGCATTTGACTCATGTTTTGTCATGCTTTGTAGGTTTACTACTTCGTGGTTTATCAATGTTATCCAATATTTCTGCTTGCAGCTCATCAGAACTGACGTAATTAGTTTGCAGTCATAAAGAGAGCACACACGAGAAGAACCCGAAGTCTATTTTCTGCGCATTGTACGAACGAGAGAGATTCCCTATTCGCAGCATTTGGAATATTTTTGCTGTGCAGTGTAGCAACTCACTTCAGCGTCGACAGTTTTGGCTTTGATTAAACTCCGATTTCTCAAACAGCTTATTTAAATCTATGAAATTAGTTTAATTAAATCAAGATATAATAGTTCAGTTGAATTTATTAAACCGTTTACTCAGTTGGAGTACACCAATTTATTTAAAATTAATGATATGTTAAAATGAGTTTATACGCTCTAACTAAAACATTTATTTATATTTCCTAAATGTGTTTAATTGACTAGTTCAGTTAAAACTGTTTGGTGTTCTTAACAAACTATTTTATTTAGATTTAAGATGATATTTGGATAATATTTGGAATTTAAAACAATAAGTTGCATTTTATTAAATGACGTACCTACCTGTATATTATAACTGCTCTGATAAATCTTAGATGTTAAAACCCTAACAAATTCCATATTTTTATTTTCATTAATTGTGGCCTTATTCTATATGGGATCAAGTCTTACCAAATACTTGTCTAATTTTCCAGAAACAGGGAATAATATATCACCATTCACTAGAAGTAATTCTTTGTTTTGGATTCAGAAAGTAGGAAAAGGGATACCTGAAACAGAATAAGGCCACTTGATAATGTGTACAAAAAATTTACTTTTATTTCTAATAGTAGAGCAATATTGCACTCACCCGGATTCAACGAATTTGCATATATAGGCAAATTCGACATCACTTTAAACAAACTAGGATATTTTTTTCTACTACGAAGTCTGCACCAATTGGAGGTAAGGAGCAAAGCACATCAAGCCCATGTTAAGCACATGTTTGGTTAAAGGCATCATTGACACAAATAGAATTTCAAAGTTCTTCCCGGTCACGTCCGCAGTGGCTCCCCTATACAGAGTATTCCTTAGGATAAAAAAATACCTAACCGTGGTTATATTGTATGTCCGCTAAGCGCCTTATGCCCGGGTATTCCACATTATCACCATAATTGATCCACTCCACAACTACTTCACCAATAACGGCAACATCCGAATATGTGACTGCTTGCAAAAATCACAAATAAAACTGAGGAGTTCGGAGCGAGTCAGCTGCGCCTGTCGCCTAAATCTGGATTATTCACGAATGAAGGGCCGAGAAATGTTTAATTGATTTGAGTGTAGCATTTCTAAATGAACTGAATTATATTAACTTATTAGACAAATTAATGAAACAGGAACCTGGTTTGCTATTTCCAACTAAACTGCTTCCAGAAAATTCAGTTTAATTAATCCGAATAATTTGGTTATTTAGAACAATTAAAAAAAATTATTTCGGGTAATGAAAGTGTTCTAGAGAAACTGTTTCATTGTCCAAATTTTAACACTGTAGTGTTCATGAAAATACTCTTATGCAAGGAGTATCATGTCCAATCTCTTACACCACAATCACCTGCAAACACTCTCACTTTTATAAAATAACGTTAAAGATGATAGATCTGTCAAAAGATAAGCACTTGTAGTATCCACCTTCATCCTGACTACAGACTGAGATTTTGGAGAAAACAAATTGAAGGATTGCCCCTTTTACCTAGTCTAAATTCGTGGGATAAATCAGAACATAACATACACATAACCAATCATTTAACGGCCAGACAATCATGGAATACTATCAACATAAAAACCATAAATTAAGTTTCAGGTGTAATTATAGATACTCATCCGTGTGATCATTTTTATCTACACTGTAGGACATTGTTATTGAATGTTTCATATACTCTGCTAAGGCATGTAACCACAACTTCAATTCGGGAGACTTTGCACATTTGCACATAAACAAAGTAAGCTTAGTCTTAAAGCTCTAAGTCAGGTTGGTCTCACCACATTTAAACTGAGTTGTGGTATTTTGAGGATTTTGTGTAAAACAAACAACTTTCGTCTAAATACGAATTCAAGGTCTGCCTCTAGAAATCATATGCGTCTGTAGGTAAGAAGTTAGTCAAGAACCTTACCTATTTTGTAAAAGAATACCAGGAACTGACGGGAGCTCTTCAAAAACTAGGCATGATACATCTGCTAAGAGTCCACAACAAGTCGTGAACATCGCCGTTCCATTCTTATTAAGGCTCATCAGTAGGATCAATAAGAACGTTCAAAAGTTGAATTTTTATCAATTATAACACGAGATAACAAACACGCCGCTACTAAAACATTTACCGCAAAAGAAAATTGATGCATGGGCTTCACGATATGGAAAAAGCAACGAACTGTAATTGTATGCACAACATATTTTGCTTGCTATGCTGTCTGGTTTCTCTGAAACTAAGAATGGCCCTAACCTGTATAATTAAAAGGGCATTGCCTTTGAGCTGCAACTTTTTATGGTTAGAGCTTAGTGATTTTCAATTCTAAAAGGCCAGGTTGAAACACCTAGGATACACGTGACAATAGAGGCCAGACCCTTTGATTTTGGTATCACAAACTATTTGACAACTATGCTACCAATTACCATAGGCGCCCGAGAGAGCGCCAGTACAAATATACGAATATGCTCTAGAAATTCTTTGAAAAGCTAAAAACTGACAAGAGATATCGTAATGTGAGCATTTTGTAAATCGGGAGGAAACAAATCTGATTTAAGCAAATCTTAAAGATCCTACTACAAGTCTGATGATCTACTAAAAATGTGTTTTTCTTTTCATATAATTACACGTTATATTAAATAATACTAGTTTTCGATGAAAGAAAAAAAATATGTCTGAAAGACATATGTTTCTGCCAAAACTAATGTACCAAATTTTTTAAAGTACTCAGTGGCAGAGGTCGTTTCTGTGATATCCGGAATGAGCAAAAAATGTAAAAATGTTGACCCATTCCCCGATATAATTACATTGACGTAACTATGATAACTTGTCATCAAAATTAGGCTTCTTGGTTCCCTGCCAACAACGAATAAATTACGATTAGACCAGCCACGACAGGCAAAAACACTTTGGCTTATAGTATGTATTTTTGCTTTGCAGGCTGATTTAGATTCCGTTGAATTATTAATATATGTATATATTATCGATTGGGAATTAGTATTCAAAGAGGATTTAGGATTGCTGTGCTATTCCTTTGTGGTTGTTTCCCCTATCCCAATTTTGTAATTGCCTTTCCGCTTTCAAATACTTCTTGGTTGGTTTACGTTCGAGCATCGTTACACAGGGTGATTCAACAAAAATATCAGTAACTCTAAGGCAGAAACTTAATCCAAAGGAAACATAAAAATGAGACTCTTTAAGGACAAAACATCAATATACTTCAAACAATGCTATGGTAAGAAAAAATTGTTTCTTCTAAAACAGGGTGTTACTTCATGATAGGCCTAATCAGAATGGCGCGGTCCTGAACGACATTTGAGTAGATACATGTGTCTGGTTTTCAAGCTACCGGATGACAAAGTCATATAAAAATTTTGTTTTCCTATTGACATCTCTTTAATCCGATTTTATTGAGTTTTGACAGTGCTGTTCATTGCAATAAGGCACTAACTAGAAGATAAGTATGAATTCCAGTGGCATCTCGGGGGGCAATTTTACGTATAGTATTGACGAAGTACGCGGATGACTTTTCAAAAAATATATGTATTTTTTTCGGATCAAGCAGACAAAGATACATTTTTGTACGTCATATTTCTTCGTGTCTCTCTTCGTGTTCGAGGCAAAAAAATGACTCCATTACATTTCAAGCTATTGTTCAAATTATTTTAGTTTTATCGATGCATAATATTTATTTGAGTCATTTTTGAAATGCAAGGAACGAAAGGTACCAGCTTGACAAAAGTAGTGTTGAATATGAACACCTACCCCTTCTATGCTGCTACTATCATATTTTAACAACTTTTCGGAATGCAGTAAGGTAGTTCTTACATTTCTAAGCTTGTTGTCTCAAACCTAGGAAGATATGAAATGATACTGGGCGGCAAAAAATTTGTATCATCTGCTTAATTCGGAAAAAAACAAAAAGACAAAAGCGTTTACCTTTTTGTCTGGAATTCATAATTATCCAAATCCATACCAGATAGCGCTAACTTAGCGCCTTATTGTAATGAACAACACTGTCAAAATTCAAATAAATCGGCTGAAAGACCTTTGAGGCGTTGACAAAAATTCTAAATGTATATAAAATGTTGACCAGACTTCTTAGGACACATATCTAAGTGAAATTTCCTACTTAAGTTGGGTTCAGGAATGCGTGCTTGTAATAACAGAATATCATTAAGAAACACCCTGTATGCTGTATATGTATGCATGTATACACATGCAATATTAAGTGTGAAACGTCACCAACTTCGGTAAATTTTTAAACTGGCTCGGACTTAAGCGTTTTAAATGAATTTATGTATCTCAAATTTTTAAACCACTTTTTCACCAAGGAGAATGGTCTGTCAAACGTAATGATAGCGTTGAGCGTGAAGTGCAGGCGTAACCTACTTGACAACATTTTTTCTGCAACGTTTCGCCGCTCGCAATCTAGATGCGATCTTGCTATTTAACCAATTTTCTATCTGTCACATCTTCTCAGAGATATACTCTAAAAACGCGTGATTCTGCAACCAACAAAGCATGCTGGCGAACTGACTTGCAGCATGGTCTTTGAGTATGTCGTTGCATAGGTGGTGATTTGAGTGACGCTTACAGGTTGCATAGCACCAAGCTGACATTTTGGCATATTTTTTTGACATTATTGAAGTTTTATACGTACGAAATTTTGACTGCCACACGGTAACCTAAGGAGTATCGATATGATAGCCTACGCTCAAGCTTTCTAAGTTTTCTTTATAAACAAATAGTACCCTCCATTCCGGGATAATAATAATAATAGTAATAACGTGTCGTTATATTTTAGTTGAAAGAACAACAAAGAAAAAAACTCATTTGATGAGGGAGTCGGCATTCAACATAGTTGCTCTTCCATGGTAGTATCATCTACACCTCTGTCTACATTTCACACTTTTGAGATTAAACATCCTCAAAAATAGGTTTGTACCCATGCAAAAGATACTACAGCACGTCCCTTTAGGAATATGTGAAATATGTACGAGTATAGGAAGAAAAACGGATACAGTAGCAAAAAATACAAAAGTCATATTCTCCTTTTTAAAAGGTTATATAGTTTTTCCAACCAAATGTCACTGAATCTATTAAGTTTTCGGGTGTGCCTTGGTGATGGTTGTATTCCTCTATTTGTTAATTTAGTTTAATGGCTCAGGTAAGTGAAGATAGTATCTCAGGGAAGTTGAGAAAGGCGCACAACTAGATGATAAAATATACATCCCAATTCTACAATCTCAAAATAAACTATTTGTATGTCGTGAATATACCGAATGGATCAAAAACCAATAGTATTTTGTATTTCATCTACAAAATTTATAAAGCGCTCCCAAAAGTAAAGGTTCTGAACATGTCGTTACCAAAATACCATTGTAAATGTCTACGCCACAGAGAACACTGGTTGGAAAGAGAACAATAATAAATTTTACATAGCATTGTGATGAGATATAGCACATAATAATAATAAGAATATTTCTTAACCATTAGACATGTATAAAACATGTATAGGGTTCGTCAGAAAACAATTTACAGTATGAATATACATAAAAACAAACAGTAAAATGACAAGCAACAACAAACAATAGCTTAAATCAGATATCTAAGAAAGGACACATAGGCAAACAACAGCAGATAAAATAGATTAGCCTTCCAGTAGTTAAAATTAATAAATTAACGGAAATACAACATAAAAATATACAAAAGGACAAACAATAAGTGGAAGACAAACAATACAAAAGAAGAACATTCAAATATCCACAGGGTCGCTGATGGCGTAGCAAGTCTTATCAATAAAGTAGGTTTTCAATTCAGCTTTAAAATTATTTAAGGAGCTAATTGTGTTAATATACTTAGGCAGCATATTGAATACCTTTTGTCCTAAAACAGAGGGATATCTACTACCTTATATCGAGCAAAGGGTAGATGAATGTCGTGCTGCCTACGTATATTGAATGTATGTATTCAAAGTAAAATTATCTCTGTTAATATATGTATATATTGCCATTTCATAAAGAAACAGCGAGTGTTAGAATTTTTAATTTCGGGAACAAGTCTCTGCAGGTGTTTATACTGTCAACACCTGCTATGCACCTTATTATTCTCTTTTGACTTCAAAATACCTTTGAAGCATTTGCCGAGGAACCCCAGAAACACAATGTATACCGCATTCGCGACTTGATATGACTGTGATACAACATCAATAACTGATCACGTGTAAGAACTGTTCACAGATTTTTAAATAGGTAGGCCTGCGAGCAAAGCTTCGCGGACAGGTAGTCACAATGTGCTTTAAAATTGAGTCACTAATCCGGGTGCAGTCCCAAGAATGTTGTGCTCTCTCTGATGGGCAGGGCTGACTTATCCAATGTAAGCTGCAGTGGAGGTATTGATCTTTTAGCACTGTGGAATCTTATAGATGTTGTTGTTTCAGAGTTTAGATGCAGCTGGCCAGTTATTGAGCTATTACAGTCGTTAATTAGGATAACGTCATCTTTATTTGATAGAATAATCGATGTTTCGTCCACGTATAAAGTAAAGTGTGCTCTGGAGAAGGACTGTTCTAGTCTATTTACACATAATGCAAGCAGAGCAGGCCCCAACACGGATCCTTGTTGAACCCCAACATCCATATTTATCCCAATAGACTTGACTTGCATTAGTTTTGCCGAGCAGTTATGAGTTGTAGTAGTGACATACCGCGATTTGTTTTCTAAGAAGGATTTTATCCAGAGGGAGGCTGGTCCACTGATTCCATAAGTTGCCAGTTTTACCAATAACATATCATGGTTGACACAATCGAATGCCCTGCTTAGATCACAAAAGATACCAACAAGGCACTATCCTGCCTTAATGTACTGAACTAGCGTATTGAAGAATATGATTTTAACTGCCAGCCTCACAGTACTTTCAAAATAGAGCGGATTCAAGTTTTTATACAGAGGAATGGATTGACTACAATTTCTAAAAATCGAACATCTTATTCGAAGATGTTCAAAGAAAGCCAGTGCCGTAAAAAATACCATCTTTCCCATGTTTGCCTCAAAATACTCTCCATTCTAGGCCACCGACATAATTTGAGCAACGAAAGCTTTTGCATGCACCTATTATGCTGTTCGTTGTGCAAACCGGATGTAACAGAAGTAACAGAACGGTTCTGTGTTTTCCGTCTATTTTTAAAAAACCCAAGGTTAGGTCCTTACTGACTTTGAACTAGGTGACCTTGGATCTTGTCAGGCCTACGCCAGCTTTTAACAAGGATTTCAATAGTGACCTTACATTTGACTTTGAACTTCAGGTTCAAAGCAATAACAGTACATGAGGGCGTATCATAACTTAAATTGTTCCATTGCCGGTGTCAATGGGTGGAATTCTCTTAGCTTAGAAAAGCTGACCTTGAAATGACTTTAGAGATGAGTTTAAATCCAAGGTCATCATTCAAATCATTGTAAGAAATTAATAAAAAACATGTGCCTAATATATTTTTTCCATCCATAATCCTACACAACTATTAGGCCTAGCCCTACACACTTGACCTTCACTCGATCTTCAAAGATGGCTTTGATCTTGTATTTTAATATATAATACTGCGTAGGGTTTTGCCGGTGCGGTGTTTCGATTTCCGTTGTCAAAAGGATAAGTCTTGCCCGTAAAATATCCTTGAAGGTGGAACTCAAGTTCAAAGCCAAGGTTGAGTTCTCTGCTTAAAATTAGTAAAGACCCATATCTTATCCTTTTTCAAAAGTACGTTACCTGGAAAAATACAGAGCCGTCCGTTACCTTTGTTACACCCGATATAAAAATGTTCAAGTACCTCATCAACTTCTAAATTATGTTTCACGAATAAAAAGTTATACGATCGACAACTTTTACCTTAAAAGCATTTCAGTGTTCGTCTTTACTTAATCACGTTTATTTGGTCGTTATACCATATTTTCATATTATCTGACAATAAGCAGACCCCTTCTATTCCAGTACCCTGACAGATTTATTCCAAAAAGATCGGCAATGGACATAGATTATTCATGCTACTTGCTCAATCAAAAAGGACCAAAACCTATTATAGTAGAATCTACAGATTCAGAGGTGGTCAATTCAGCTAAACGGTCGCAGAATCAGAACAATTATATAAGCGTGTAAGTACCTGACGTAAAACTAAGGAAATTTTTCTAAATCTCAAGATACCTTTTTTGTTAATCACTTCAGCATATATAAAGTATGATCTCAGAGCTGCCAAACATTGTTCATTTTCTGAAATGGGCGACGATGCCACCCCTGAGGAAAATTGCTGCGGGCGCCCATGGCATTTATATGCACATTCAGTTCATGCGTACCTGCTAAGTTGTGTAGATGGCTCATTTGCACATAGCCCGTAACTTCAGCCAGGCGAGACGTTCTAGACAAGGTGTCCCGCTAGCATTTTAACACTATGGTATAGGATTCGGCACCAGCCTTAATTTTATTGGTCAATTTCAATTTATTCGACCAATAACAAGCCTGGTGCCGAAATCACTACCGGAATGTTAAACAGTGCTGAGCATGGGGTCAGAATGTTATCAATTTAAATTTAAATTTACTTACCTTCCGCTAAAAATACGTAAGATAATAATCAACGCACGTTGTTTCCTATTACGATATTTAATGATTTTAAAATTAATAATTTGGTTTAGCAATAAGAAAAATTACATGAAAAATTTATATATATTTATATAGGTGAAAAATTAAAGCTTCCGCCTTTTGTTGGGTACTTCGACAAAATTTAAGCAAGGAGGACTCTTTATACTTTTTTATTCTCTCTAGCTTTCAATGGTCTTTGCCATCATCATCAGGAGAGTAGTATGTGAGGATGTTGCTAATTGTTGTTTACGTTAAGGATGAGGGAAACACCCTGTAATATGGTGAACGCTGGATAAATGGTACAATGGTCAAAATTATATAAAATACACACAGCTGTATGACAAGAACAAGTTGATGGCAAAGACCATTGAAAGCTAGAGAGAATAAAAAAAGTAAAAAGAGTCCTCCTTGCTTAAATTGTGATTTCGGCACCCAGCTTGTTATTGGTTAAATAAATTGAAATTGACCAATAAAATTAAGGCTGCTGCCGAATCCTATACCATAGTGTTAAAATGCGTCCCGCTATAAATTGACCTAGCTTGTTTGTATGACGGTTTGGAAAAAAAAAATTTATAAAAGTTATAGGGTCTATAGTTTTATCACGCTGGGTTGTTTATGTATACAGAATGTCTCAGAAAAGTCCTATCTAATAAAGTTGTTTTTAACGGGACACTCTAATATAAATTATATAATAATAATACGTACATACAATGTGCGATGGCAATGACATTCTATAAAAAGCTTTTGTGGAAAAAATTTTTCATAAATACTCACATGAAAAAGCTGAAGGGGTGAATTAATTGCGGGAAACCTTGTTTAATCGGTCTGGCAAAAGCTGTGGCCGACTGGAAGTGCTGCCTATTACTCTGTAATGATAAAAAGCGTATATAAAAATCAGTCATCAGATCTTGGGTCAAGTTAGTCTTATTTTTACTTGACCTTTCTCGTCTGGTACTTGTATTTCAGAAAATAGGTAATGCGCTGGGATCTTGGACTAATATTTTTTAAAGCTTTTATTCTATCTTTCTAAGATTGACTTTCAGCCGATCTGATCTCTTACCTTTAAGACTGAAAAAGGCGATCTTTGGAAATAACAGACAAAAATGGGTGTTGCAATTCTCATCTCGTCCATTACGAAAGAGAGATTCACCGGAGAGCTTCAGATGCCTCTCTGATGTCTGGCCAGTGAAGCCTAGAAGTAAGCCATTGTTGAAGAATCCGTCGATCATATTGGACTTGCCAGACATCCAAGACCACCTAGGTAAGCTACACAGGGAAGTTTCTTAAACATGGTACGAAAACGTGATGGGTCACTTATTTGGACTTTTCCAAAAAATATTTCTTTGACGACTTTCGAAACACATCTTTATTTCGGAAAAAATAAGCCACTAAAGTATTCCACTGGAGATCACTTTAAAAAAATGTTGAGTCCTTTGCAGTTTTTCAGAAATTAAATTCAGAGTAAAAAAAATACAACATGACTCGTGGAAAGGGCAGATTTTTGGTGGTTGGGCCTTCATTGAAATCACCTCCGAACCTCTCCACGAATAATGTAATTATTTACTTTGAATCGCAATTTATTGGGTCAGGAATTTCATACCAAAACAAAGTTGATGGAACCACATCCCAAAATATATGGGGAAGTCTTCGTAAGATGTATTTTTTTTAAGTTTGGAATCACCCTGTACTAATGTACAAAATTTAAAAAAAAGTGAAATGGCGAGAAGCTATCAAGAATAAAGCCCATTGTGATGAAACGTTTGCTACTCTATGTGCAAAAGTGACTAACAAGCTATCAAGCTTCTTTAATCTTTTTTCTTAAATAACGGAGCTATTAACTGATTAATCAATAAAAACTCACCCTGTAACTGTTTTGGACTTTTATGGTTATTTATTGCAGATTGCTCAAGCCCTCTGGATTGGGCTGCAACTGGATATATAGCAACCGTATACGAAAACGAAGTACATTTTTGGCACCCAGAAGGAAGAAGAATGGAAGCAACATATACTTCAATGAGAGTTGGGAAGTGCTTAAAATGGAATCGTCAGGGGAATTTACTGGCTTTTGCCTTAGAGTATCCTCATTGTAAATACGCCACATGGAGCATTCAGCTTCAAAAGGTGAATACCATTTTTAGATCTAAAAGCGCAGATTATGGGCCGAACTTTTAATCAAGCCAAGAAGGCCCCAGCTGGTCTGCCAGCTCACTATATACCTGTATATCAAATCTCCGAACAATTTGACCACGCATCTTTTCGACAAAAAGGTTCTTACAACAGTTTCTGGAGAACAGAAAAAAACTCATTGATGATGACTGGTATGATCTACACCTTGGAGGTAACAAATTGCTCTTCCAATTGGCGTATGAGGTGTTTCATGACTTTCTGGAACGTTTGTGTAAATTCTTTTGTAAAAAAATGTGTTGCAGTCCAGTTTACGGGGCATTTGTGCCCCTCTCAGAGAGAAGAAGTGAGTTCGCGATATCCAACATCTTGTGTTCATCAGGCCTACTTATACATAGTCTTCGGCTGATTTTACTCATATGAAACAATTCAATCCACGCGACGATGACACCCGACATATACTCGTGGCAGAGTATACTTCTTCTAAGGTTTAAATGATAAATTCTTCCAGCTCTAAATAATGACGTCAAGTAAGTTGAGTCTGTACGGAATCCTGTCATCAGTTCGTAAATGATTATTTTTGGTACAAGGTAGACCGTTTGAGAAAAAAATTTGCCTAACAGGTGCGTAGAATTACTGCAGTCGGGGGCGTATAAATAAACTGACGTCAAAAAAATTAAGACCCCCACAAAAAACTTTGAAAGTGATCAGGATTCTTTGAACCGTCAAAAAATTAACTTCGAGCATTTTTTCGTTTTTGGCTTTTGTCTCTGTCGCCAGTAGGCCTTGGAAGTAAAAAGACAAAACTTCGTACTTTAAAATATTTCTCCAAGCTGCCCATCTCTTGTTAAATCAGTTTTTACTCTTTTTTTTCTAATTTACAGTACGCCAAAAAAATAATAAACTATCTCAAATTCCACGTCAAGGATATGAGAACTCGATAACTTCAAATGCCGTGTAAATCTCTGTTCCAACAGAATAGTTCGGAACTAGTTATGAGCTGTACCTGCCTTGGGCATGCGCAGAAAAATAATTCGGAATTAGTTCTGAACTAGTTCGGAACTGCTTGCTGAAACAAGACTTAGGTTATTTATTTATTTATTTATTTAGCAACATCCATAGCCACTTACAGGATGGATAAACATGAAAATATAAACAAATGCATGTTGTGGATGTATGTAGAGAAAGCTAAAGCGCTGCAAAAAAAACCTCAAAACAGAATTGGGAGGAAAAAAAAAAGCGTTCTAGCTTTACCTACCCAGCACTCAACAATCACACCGGCAAGCATTAACGAAAATAAGCATTAATGTCTCCCAAAGTCGCACAAAACGAAAATATATCTAAAACGCTATTAACTGAATGATAATTACGGCACATTATATATATATATATAGGGGAAAACTTAAGTATGTCAGTCATAGGCCTGGCTAAGTAAACAGTTAGATTAGTTCGTGACGCTAATCTAGGAATTAAGAAGTTAAGTTGTTCTAAGATGACACTGGAGTCAATAATGCCATGGATGAGCTTGGGAATGAACTTAAGTGAATTCATTTTGCGTCTGCTCCCTAAATTATAGATTTTGCGTCTCGCCATCAACTCACTATGAGGAAAGCCAATAGCGGGATATATCCCGTCAGCTTTGTATGAGAGGTATTTTAAAAACTTTCTTTGAACGGACTCTAAGCGGTCAATATATATTTGATGATGAGGATACCATACCAGGGACGCATACTCAAGCTTAGATGTTACATAAGCATATTACAGTATTTTTAGTGTAAAGGAGTTGTGGAAATCACCGGTATTTCTAACAATAAAACCATACGTCTTTGATGCAGCCACAACAGCATTTTCAATGTGATAGGAGAAGGAAAGTTTTCTGTCAAATGTGACTCCCAAGTCATTAATTGTACTAGGTCTGTCAAGTTTCCTGTCACCAAAACTATATTCATACATCATTACCCCTGTTTTTAAAGTAAACGACAAAACGTGACACTTAGCAGCATTCAAAACAAGTCTGTTTTCACGACACCAGTTATCAACCCTTACAATGTTGCATTGCAAGCGATGACAATCGTCAATGTTAGAGACTCTACAGAAAAGTTTAATATCATCAGCATATATAAGAAAATCGACATCGATAACTTCAGAAATATCATTTATGAACATAATAAATAACAGAGGTCCCAAATTAGATCCTTGAGGAACACCGAACATTACAGGGTATTCGCTTGACTTATGTCCATTGCACATAACATATTGTTTCCTATGACATAAATAAGATCTGAAAAATAGCAACAATGCATCTGAAAGACCAAATCTAGATAACTTATTGAGTAGAATGTTATGGTCTAAACTATCAAACGCTTTAGAGAAATCAGTATATATTACATCCGTTTGAAGTTGTCTATCGATTGATTCACAAACATATTGAGTAAGATGTAGCAAGTTAGTAACTGTGGACCTGCCCTTCATGAAACCGTGTTGACTGACGGAGATAGACCTGCTTACATGAAAATATAGCACAGTTTGTATCACTATTTCGAATGTTTTAGCGAAATTACTGATAATTGTGATAGCCCGATAGTTTTCTACATAATTCCTCTCACCTTTTTTAAAAAGAGGAGTTACCCTAGACAACTTCCAAATAGATGGAAAGTGATTATTTTTCAGAGAGGGATTGAAAATGATCATGAGTGGATATGCTAAAATGGACGCACAATCTCTCACAAAAAATGCAGGTATTTGATCAGGCCCTGCAGTCATTTTTGGCTTAATTTTCTTGAGCGCCTGTAGCACATCGATTTCCTGTACACTAGGCATAGCTAGTGTAGTAGTGAAATGGTAGTCAGTAGAAAAATTAGATTGAGCTGTTGGAGTATTATAGCTCCCACTAAAGTGTTCCGCAAATGCGCCAACAACATCAGATGATCATAGTAGATGCTACCAATAAATTCCTTTTCTGACTTCCTGAAATTTTTCTACAAATCTGTGTTCGATTAGATGGGTGGCTGTCAAGTATTTGGGGTATCCGGATATTTAATTGGTATGGCTTTGTTGTGAGCAGATTTTGATAGTTGCCTAGAAATTTCTTGTAAGAAATAACCGTTGGAAAGGGACAATAATTAAATATACTGAATTTTGTAGGATCTTAAATGTTCTTGGTTACAATCATCTACTTCTTTCAGGTCAAAACAGTCTTCTTTTGTTCATATGCGTTTTGTGAGATAACTGCTATCGAGTGGACCAAGTCGAATGAAATAATTACAGGTAAGCGTACAAGTTACACAGAGTGCCTCTCGTAAACACATAGAATATATAAAATATACTGATGCGCCTCCCTGTGAAGATATTAGCCCTGAGGGACACTACTGGAACCCGATTTACATCGAATAACTTCAGAAAGATACAGTAAAATTCAAAGCAATTTTGACCTCTCAGTAGCTGTGTGGTGTCCTTAAAAAATAATCGTAATCAGGTTACTTGAAGCCATCTAGCCCTGCAGCCGTACGTCTGCATGGAAATGGATGTCCAAAATAAAAGATGAGTTATCCATTTACCCCTTTTTACCAGCGTTTATGTTACAACATGTTACAACTTGTCCTGTCGGACAAACATTGGAATTGAATTTTGAACCAATAACCTTAACCAAAAGAGCTAAAATTTTGCATACACATTTGGTTGTAATTATAATAAATTGTATGACACCAGTTCGGAATTAAATATGGTAGCTGCTGCAGAACAACGATTTGTCAGTTTCATGATATGGGTATCAAATGAAAGAGTTCGATTATAAAAACACAATGAGCAGTGACATTATTCTCAACACAATATGACGGCAGCTGCAAAATGGCGATTTACCGTTTCCTGAGCCAGCCCTATAATAATGGGTATCATACACAAATTATACATAACTTTAAACCTGACTTTATCTGCGGTTCTGGTACATATTAATAATAGTTTAGAAACTACATATAATCGCTCAGAAGCACACAATTTGCAACTAAATGCAAATAGATGCGCAGCACTTCTATTTTGTTCAGAACATGACGAAAATAATATTAAAACAGATTCCAATATAATTTTTCTTTTTATACCGAAGCAGCCGCGCAGGCAGAAGCCTAGATGCCGAGACACCGCGGCCGCTATGATGATCCCAAAGACATTTTGTTAATCCGATTTTTGAACTGCCTAAGGTTGGTAGAACTGGGAAAAGCTTCCTCTTGTAGATTGTTCCACAATCTCGACACCTTCGGGACAAAGGAGCGGCCATATCCGCCAGTTCTGGATGTACAAATTTCCATATGGTCAGGATGGGAGGCCAAATCCAGGCGGGTCTGTCTGGCAGGCACATCGCGCGGCAGAAGAGAGCTCTGAGGAGCAAAGCCCGTTGGTGAAGCGGTAGAAGAGAGCACAACAAGCGTGTGAGCAGTATTCGAGGCTAGGCCTTATGTGGGCCTTGTATAGAGTGAGAAGGCCAAGTGAAGGAAATTACTTCTTAGCCCTAAACAAATGACCTAGCTTTCTCCCAGCAGCTGCCGCTATTGACGAGGTGTCTTCGTGCCAGACGAAATGAATATCTCTTTGGCAGAACTCGGGGTTCCATCGAAACCGGATGAGCGCTAGGACGCTTTTTGTTCATCGAAGTACAGTACTGTGTTTTGGAAGCATTAAGCTGTGCAAGATTGTTACATTCCTAAGCAGCTCAGCGGCAGAGATCGGCTTGTTACCCCAAATTCCTGCATGTAGAGTGCTGTCATCAGCGAAACTGTGGATACGGTAGATCGTGCAGGAAAGGAGGACGTTGATGTGTCAGAGGAACAGTGTCGGAGCCAAGACCGATCCCTGGGGAACTCCCGCGTTGACGTTGTGGGATGGAGAGAAGAAGAGGTAGAGTCAGCCACCCATCTGTAAAGCTTTTCTGGGGAGCCATAGGATGGAAGTTTGCTTAAGAGATTTTTGTAATGTATTTAAGGTTTTAGGACTACATATTGACGAACAACTTCGCCTAAGAGAGAAGGTAAATAGTTTAATTGAAAGAACTTATATTCGAATTCAAACATTGTAAAGTAATAGGGTCATTTTGACTGATACATTAACGAGAGAAGCGAGTGCTTGGTTCTTCCTATTATCAGATATACTTTTGCAGTGTATTTCCCTTGTTTGGAAGTAGCTAATAGAACCAGAATTTAAATGGTTCAAGATACATGTTATCGATCCATGAACTGAGAAGACATGTTTTTGAGAAAATGGAGAACGCAAATTCGTTTAAAATTTCCGTTAGTTTTAAATACGATATGCTAATTTTTGTATATGAATTAATTAATCAACCCACATCTCCTTCTAACCTCAAAAAACAAATTAATTTTCAGATCCAATCTCTATTCTAGGTATAAGAGATTGCTTATCTCTGGCTATGCTTTTCCACTCATCAAGTCTTTTCAGTAGAAGCTTCACGTTTACACCCTGTATAACTCCATCTCCCTCATTTGTACACATGCAGCAGCGGTGGCCGCAGTAGTAGACTGGTCGGTCTCCTGATCAGTCGCCGTGCGCTGTGCGGGTTCGAGTCCCGTCCCAGGAGAAATTTTTCTCTTGGCTATGGATGTTGTGATTATCCGTAGGTGGTAGATGGTCTCTGACTGTCGAACGCGGAGGTAACACCCGGCGGTTCTCGTAGGCGGAGCCAGAATGTGTGCATGTTGCATGTTCCCTCGCCAGAGTCCGTGTGGCGTCCCCCCTTTCCCATATATCCCCCATAGCCCCACGGTACCCAATGGGAGCTTAGGCCTTAGGCCTTCGTGGTAGTTGGAATATAAAAAAAAGTATCAGTCAGTTTTTTATTTCAGTGCACTCACTATGTTAAAGACGACTATTATTATTATTATTAAATAAATGAGCTTCATGAGAGAAACAAAAGAAGTGAAGTGAAGTCATTCCAAATCCAATGACATGGTCTTATAACATGAGAATGCAGTAATATTACTGCAGATCTGATGATAGAGCCAGAAGGTGGCCTTGGAATCTCTATAATACAGCGATTCGTTTGATTCTCCGTGACAAGTACCCCAACTAGCAAAGTAGTGCTATAAGCTTTTGGTAAAAGAACCATTCAGCCATAAAAGCTCTCTATTGTTGTTGCCTGAACACCAAAATGCTGGCTTAATGTTGTGTGGAATGCAAATATGCTTTCTGCAAAATATTTGCTATAAAATGAGGTGTTTAAAATATTCTTTAGCATAGTTATACAACACCTTATAGGACAAATTTTTAACTGTTGCATAAACGTATATACAACTATTTTATACGGCATATTTGCACGTTAGTCAAAATGGTTGTGTTGTGGCATCCATGGCAACGTTTATAAAACAAACCCGAGCCTTGTTGTTTTGCTGTGCATATTACTACTTTAGCCAACAAGTTGCTCCCAACGGAAGCACTTATACAACTGTCGTTTAGTAACTGTTAAAGGCTGTACATATGCTAAATATGTTGGTATACAACTTCATCATAACCTAACTTCCTGCTGTCATATTTTTGTTAAAATGCCATAACCAATCATTTAAGACAAACAACGCATGCATGTTGGTTCAAAAGGTTTTATCAACTGTTCAAACAGAAGATATAGATCTAGTACAAATTCTGGGTAAATCATTGGACTTTTTTTTTTTTTTTTTTATACTCCAACTACCACGAAGGCCTGAGGCCTAAGCACCCATTGGGTACCGTGGGGCTATGGGGGATACATGGGAAAGGGGGGACGCCACACGGACTCTGGCGAGGGAACACGTGTGCATGCAACATGCACACATTCTGGCTCCGCCTACGAGAACCGCCGGGTGGTACCTCCGCGTTCGACAGTCAGAGACCATCTACCACCTACGGACAATCACAACATCCATGGCCAAGAGAAACATTTCTCCTGGAGACGGGAATCGAACCCGCACAGCGCACGGCGACTGATCAGGAGACCGAAGAGTCTACTACTGCGGCCACCGCTGCTGCCTAGAAACTGTCGGTATTTCATATCAGACATTTGTCAAATTCTTGTATAACACCTGCAGACAACACCAAAATATTCTAATGAATACTGAAGACAACATGGACGATGCCATGATTATACACAACCACCAGCCATATTGGGCCAACATTTATTCCTCTATTTAATATTAAATAATTATGTTTCAGTTCGAAATTACAGATATAAAGTGATAAACATTAGTGTAATTGTGTCTAAATATAGGATTTGTGGAAGATTTGAAGCAGATAAGTTCAGTTTTCCATCTTAAAAATCTAGACATACTTTTGATCATTATCAAAATATGCATCAAATAAGAAGCCCGTAGATATTGCGTAACTACTTTGCACGATAATCACAATAAAATTTGCTGCGCAAGTAATTCAATAGCCCTATATCACAGTGCAGAAGTTTATCATATACCTGTGTATGAAATTCACAATGGACGATATGTAAGTAAACAAGATGACTGTAATGTGTTAGTTATATATTCTTCACTTCGTCTATGCAATACATAAGAAATAGTTTGGTTACAATAAAGTAGAATCATGTAACAGAATAGTTGTATAGTTGACAAAAACTGAATCTTGCACTGACTCAAATGTCCTATAGCGGCTGCAAGAGACTTACACTTTTGTTGTATAAATCTTACCTGCAGCCCTTATACAACCTCTTAAATGACTGAAGTGTCCTATTAGGTGTGCCCATTCCGCTTGTATAGCTGTTCTAACAGGGTTTTGCCAAGGTTTTTACAGTATGCAATGCTGTGTAAGGAATACTGTATAATCATTTTTGCAACTCTAATAGGAATGATAGTTGTTAGTTGGGACTATAGTTTTACGGTTTGACAATAAAGTTATTTGGCTAATAGGAATGTAACAACAGTGCCAAATTTAAGCTTTTTACTATTAGACGGTACATTTGATTTCTTCGACCAGCTGTACTCAACAATATTTACAGACAGAGGTACGTGTCCCGTATTCACGTAATATTGGTATCATCTATATACTCGTAGAACGAGATCTAAGACAAAAATAAAATAAGGAGTTTTATGAAGTCCTGTTATTAAAATATATGTAAATTGGAATTAGCTGATCTAGTTATTTAAGATCATTAATGATAAGGAGTGAAGTATGAATATAAAAGAAGAGACTTTAAAACCAAGAGTGTATTTGATCGTTAATATACTCAGTGACATTAGAAGTGTTATACCCACTCTAGATATGGCAGTAAAATGGACACCATCAACATAACGCGCAGCAATTATATTGCCTTGAACAAAGAAAAGGGGGAGCAGCTACCACAGGCCAGGCAGTCCCTCCAAACCATTACTCCAACTGTCCTGTGTACATGCCTCTCAATAGTAAATCCAATATCACGCCGTCCTCCACGACGGCGTCTTACCCTTCTACGACCATCGTGCGTACCTAGACAGAATCGCGATTCGTCGCTGAAGATGACATTATGCCATTCTGTCTCCCAATGTTGCCATTATCTGCTCGACTTCAAACGTTGATGACAGTGTCCGCAGTCAGACTAAGCACTAACCATGGACGGTATGGGAAAAGTTTAAAGTCTCGAATGCTGCATTGGTCAGCGATCTGACGCATATTATCAAAACGGTCTCGCAGGGCTAGTTGTCTGAAGCGCCTATCTGGATACTCTATCGTACTCCTCGATGGTCCAGTTGTCCTTCTTCCTGTTCCTCTATCCACACACGACACGCACGCATTGCCCTTACTGCGGTCAATTTCGCGATAGGACAAACTTCTCGATAGGCAATAATTCTACCCCTGTCATAGTCGCTAACATGGTGATAATTTAGACGGCTTCGAACTCGTGGCATCTTGTTTTGCTTAACACTGGTAAACGAAAGGGCAATAACTAAAAATATTTGTACTACTCAGCTATCAGGAACTGCTTTCTTCACAAAAACTAAAAAATAACATTTTAACAAAGGTAAACAAAAACAAAGATAAAACGTTGACATTGTTGCCACAGCATGCTTTAAGTATAGTCATTATGCTGCCAAAACACAAGTTGAACAAATTATTTCTTCTAGGTGTAACACTTAACTAATGTCACTGAATACACAAAGAACTATAAGCTTCAATTTTTTTTTTCTTTTTGGATATATGGCGTTACGTACTTATAACCTTTAGACGATAATGACTCCTTTGTCTTAAGGTTTCAATTAAAAGTGCGTTACATCTTAGCAGCAAAAGGAAAAAGGGGTATATCATGGCTTTATTCAAAAATTAACATTTGAAAGTCAAGATGTTGAAAAATCTGTTTTTCTTTTAATCATTTGAAATATCCTATGGAGCTACTGTATTTCTTATAATTGTAGGTTGTTCACAAGGCTGTCTTCGCACTGGAAAAATTAGTACTGGCCATATGATGTATCCACATGTACAATTGGATGGAACCATATCATGTGTCAAGTTATCCAGCAATGAGAACTTCTGCGCGGTAGTAGTGAAAAACAACTTCCTTATCAGATTGCTTAGATATCCTCAGTGGACTGCTCACTATGATATCAATTGTCAGGAGATCGGCAAGGTACTCTTACATCGACAGTAGTGTCAAAACCTATATTCCCTATAGCTTGGCGGGTCATATCACAGATCAGGTTCAGCATTTTTCTCAGAAGAGTCTCCACGGATACATGAAGCTTTGTGAAATTTCAGAGTCCTGGGTCGAACGGTTCATTCTAGAAACGCGCTGAAATGTTGAAGGTTCGGTGCATTTTATCGTTTTTGCAATTTTTGCATGTTATCTCTACCCCTGTCCTTAGAAAGCATTAGGGGCCATAGTATACCACTTTTCCGAGGTGAAGGTATCTACTAGCCACAACCAGACCACTCTGTACGTCATGCGTAGGATGTCTATCCGAAAGACCTCGAGAGAAAGACCTACTAGTAAAGATATAGACACAAAAAAATCAATATACAAATTAGACCGTGACTGCGGTAAATGCTACGTTGGTGGAACATCAACACCTATTAAATGTAGAATCAAAGAAACATCAAAATCAGCACTAAGCGAGCATGTAAGTGAAACAGGAAAAGTTGAAAAATGGGAGAAAGTATCAATATTACACAAAAAGGATGACATTTGCAGAAGGGAGGTGAAGAAATGAGCCTATATAAAATTAAGTAACAATTGCCTTCATGTTTTTTTATGGACTGTAGTCCAATTTAGTTGAGTATCCTCGAAGGAAAGATCTAGATGACATTTTCGAAGCCGTCTGGTGGTTCATGAGCTTTTTCTTCAAGGTTTTTCCTCATGATTTGCTATGGAATCTTTAATAAGCAGATATTTTACTTCGCCACCTCAAGGGCAATTGTTGTGTTTCATATTATTTTCTCGTAAGACAAGCAACATGGTCCCCTTTAGAGGTCGAAGTACTACTTCTCGCATTTCAGTTCCATAAAAAATGCACATGCAGCATTTGTAGTCGAAGAGTGCATAGTAGATAACCGATATGTTACGACAATACTTCTGGGGGCGTTTTCAGGGGATTTTTGGTGTTTTTGGAACAACGAACGAGAATAATTTGTCCAGTAGATTAGAAAATTCATTATCTGTAGTGTGCCAATAATCTGTTGTATACTGTACTCCTTTGTTACAGAAAATATCGATATCCTGGCATCCATGGAGGGAGGGTTTGTTGGCTGTAGGCCAGGCTCAAGGCGTTTCAATATGGAACGTAAATAATCTTACTGTAGTTGGACATATTGTTTGTTATAGTATAGACGCAATTGCGTTCAATCCAGTTTCAGCGGAGCTCCTAGTAAGTATCATCGAATACATCCGATAATAACATTTATATGCTGAAGAGGATCCTGCAATTAAACAGTACAATTTTTGGAACAAGCTGCACAATTAAACACTGTAGAAGTCGTAACATGTTTCTTTATCATTGGAAAAGCATTGTTATACCATTACACTATCGACAGACTCCAGACTGACACTGGCATTCATTGGCTAGTCAGATTATACTCGTATATATGTTACTAGCAACTAAATCATAGCATGAATACAAAGCTAATAGTGTAAGTCTTGGAAAATAATGCCCTGTTTACCCTGCCTAGCTACAATTTTGAATGCACCAGCTTTTTCTTTCTTTCTCTTTTTCTTTTCTTTCCTCTTTATTAGGAGAATATGGTTTATTCGGTGTTTGCGTTCGCACTTGTTCAAGGTAAACCCTAAGAAAACTCTAGCCGTCACTATCAAAAGGCCCTTGAGATATCTTGTCCCTGTTTTCTTCGTTAAGCTTAGGATACTTGACAGCTCTCCTGCAAATGCTCGTGTCGCAAGTATGATCGCAACCTGGACGTACTCATAACAAGGAGGCCTCAATTAAAGAACGAGGAATAACTAAATGTAATAGCCCTTTCTCAAAAAATGCTGCTCAAATAAACAATGTGCAAGACAAACATTGTAAAACAATAACACGACAGTATGATGATGACGTTGCTCGTCTCAGAGGAATCTTCAGATGATTCCTCAATTGAAGAGCTGCACGGCACATCAGCGGAATCTCCTGAGACTCCGCATTGCACACCAGCAGAGCTCCAAGGTCATATTAAAGACCTCAAGGTGCGTGAAGCACCTGGAGAGGATCGAATCACTAATAAGGCGCTGAAGCTACTTTCGCGGAAGTCCTTAACCTATCTCGTGGCAATAATCAATGCCATGCTAAGGACCCAGCACTTCCCAACGGCGTGGAAGACCGCTGATGTCATAATGATTCCAAAGAAGGTGGGTTCGATATTCCCTCAGGACTACCGCCCCATTAGTCTGCTGTCAGCTCCTTCTAAGCTCGCTGAAAAGGTGATTCTACGTCATCTTGAAAATTTCTCGGCAGACCACAATGTGATTCCTGACGTGCAATTTGGCTTTCGGTCTGAGCATAGTACGGAGCTACAGGCCATAAGGCTTGTTGAACGAGTAACCAGCGGGTTCACCCGTAATGAAAGTACTGGCATCTTGCTACTGGATGTCTCAAAGGCATTTGACAAGGTGTGACACAAGGACCTTCTCTACAAATTGATCCATAAGGGCTTCCCCTTCTGGCTCCTAAAACTTTTGAAATCCTTTCTCGAGGGTAGGAAATTTCGGATCAAAATTAATAACGTTCTGTCGACAACACGGCCCATCAAAGCCGGTGTCCCTCAGGGTTCGGTTCTTGGACCAGTCCTTTATTCACTTTTTATTCATGACGTCCCTTGCCCCAGCAGCTGTCAAATCTATCTCTATGCTGATGACACTGCCCTGGTGGCCCAGTCGTGCTCTGGGGATCTAGTTCACGACAGGCTACAAAGTGCGGTGGACGAGGTATTGGAATGGGAGAATCGGTGGCTGATCAAAATTAATCATTCGAAAACGCAGGCAATCTATTGTACTAAAAAACGTAGCGGCGCCCCGTCTGAGGTTTCAGTGAATGGAGCTCGGGTACCATGGGAAAGCTCTGCTAAGTAGCTCGGTATCACTCTTGACAAGGGGATAACCTGGCAGAAGCACACTGAAGCGTTAAAAACTAAATTCCAAATCTCGTTTCGGCAACTCTACCCTATGCTATGTAGAACATCAAAATTAAGTTTGATCAACAAAGTTCGACTATACAAGATGGTTATTAGACCAGCGATCACTTACGCAAGTGCGGCTTGGTGTTTTCTCGCCAAAACGCATTTGCATAGCCTGCAGGTTTTGCAGAACAGAACCTTGCGTACAATCACTAACGCCCCATGGTATGTTTCCAACGAGACCCTTCACAGAGATCTTGACATCCCTTACCTAAGGGACTACATCAAACAGCAAGCGCAGCTACGTTACAGTCAAGCAGAATCGCATAACAACCCTTTGTTGCGCGAGTCAGTAGACTACACAGTCGAGCAAGTTCGCAAGCACACAAGGTCGCGACTCGCACTGTGAACAAAATTAAATCGTGCGACTTTAGGTCCAACCAAAATTATAATTTTTCTTCAACAACCAATCCCAAAATTAATTTTAGGATCAATTTAAAATTGCCGAATACTAACTAGCAATGCCAAGCCACCCCTCAAATTGGTGCACTTCTTTTTTCTTTGCTCTCCCTCCTTCCTTCCTTCCTTTCTTCTTCCCTTCTTTCTCCCTGACTTTGTTTGGTATCTGGGCAACCAGACCTGACAGACCCACTGACTTACAAGACTTCAACCAAGAGCAAAGGTTCTACGGACCGCTCTGACAGACAATGACGAATAGTACGAATAGTGACGTTGCTCGTGGCCTTGAGAATAACGTTCAATGTTATTTATAAACTCAACCTGAAAACTTCAAATGGATCCTACCGGTCAGAACAGATCAGAATATTTTACATTTGAAAAGGGCTTTATCATAAATTCAAATCCATTCAGAACTCAACTCAACCTACGACCCACGTCAAGACGGCAAATTTTATGTTTGTATGTGGCCATCCCTTGAAATTTGTTGACTCGTAAGATCGTATGAAGTCATAGTTACCACTAAAATTTCCCGCTCTCTCAGTGGGGTTAAAAAGATGCGATACCACTTAAACTCTTCAAGTTGAACTGAAAATGACCTTGAAGGTCGTGATTGAGGTCACCATCAGATTTCTTTCCTGAAGTCCTGCAACTCTAGTCTTGACCATGTTTTGTTCGTGCAGTAGTTTCTTCTGGATGTCGGCAATTTTTTGAATACCCTGCATGTATACAGCCTTAATAAATTCAATATACCAATTAAGTGGGTTTATTTTGCAGATAAGCGCTCATAATAATCTTCCAGATAATACTACGAGAGTGTATCTAACAGTAATGAAGAACTGTGAGAAGGCAGTTGATGAGGTAGTTCATTGCAATGGAAGAGAGCCATTTCTGTATTGGGATACAACAGGGACTAAATTAGGTAAGTTGCGAAAACCGAACTACGCACGGTATCTCAAAGTGTAATAGTAACGGAAATAGGTGACAATGCGACGTGCTGTTTCACATTGACCACTAAGACAGTGGATAAGACGAAATAAAGTAGGATACTTTGCTCTTCCACGGTTTACTTTGTCTTTGGATACAGTACCTTAACCATAAATGCCTCAAGTGCTAATCTTCGGCATTTAAGGAGATTACTCGTATATCTCTCTGAGATTCGAGAAAATGTACTCGTTATCAAACAATGAACATCTATAAACTCATACGGTTATATGGGACATTGACTAATTGTACGGGCCTGTTTCACTGAATTGATAGGTTCAAATTTTCTATTGTAGATGCTCGTAACTATTCTTTCTCTCAGTGGGCTTAACTTGTGCTGAACTCAATTCTTCATGAGCTCACGAAGGTATCGCGTAGGAAGTGCAGAGTCAACCTACTTGACGTCATTTTTTTTCAGCTGTTGTTGGTTCACATGAGAGCCTGTGCATATGGGATTTCTTTGGAACATCCTCGAATGGAATAAATAAGAAGACGAAAAGAAGCCGTCTTACATCAGACCCGTTTGAAACAATGAAGCTGATCGGTCCAACTATTCGTTAATTTCTGGCTCAGGTTTGCTCATTGGTATTTTTTATTTTATCTACTGTGATGTTATTTACTGTTTTAACTTTATACTGCTTACTGATTTTTATTATATTTCTACTATTTTTATACTGCTACTATTTCTATTATACGTTACATGTACAACGCCGTTTTAATAGAAGCATGAGACAACTATGCTAGTAACTAAATCTGATGGAATCATGGATTGCATACTGCAATGATTATAAATGATATCAATTTAGTCACTTACAGCATTTCATAATACGGGAGAATTGAAAATATTATTTAAAATATCTTTGAAGATCATATAAACACGATGCTTTTCTCCGTAACGTTATCTGAAAAATCATATCCTGAAAGATTTGCAGGCTGTTTATTACAGACAAATTATACAACGGAGTTTATACATAACTTGTGAGACAAAATTGATGATTTTATCACCGAGACAACATTTTTTGCTTTTGCCTAGGGTGTGTGTTACGGAGACTAGACATGTTTTGCTTTTGACTAGGGTGTGTGTAATAAATAAAACAACTGACATTAGCTGCCTGGAGCGCCATACATCATTATACGCACGTGTTATACAGGGTGTTCATTTGAAAACTTTCCACCATGGATTTATCGAAAACCGCTGAGACAAGTCAAAAGATTTGTCAAGGGGGACAACTTAACCAAAAAC